GCTATTGATGGATCGAAAAATTGAGGAAAACGAATCGGACGGGGTCAATTTGATGTTGTACTCATCTCATGTATAATTTAGATCGCCGAATAGTGGATTTCTAATTCTCACGTACAATAAATAGTGGATTACACTTACAGTAAATAGTGGATTTCACATAGTGGATTTCAAATTCAGAATGTGAATAGTGGATTTTAAACTCGGGTTGTGAATAGTGAATTACGATAATTTTACACTTACAGTAAATAGTGGATTTCACATAGTGGATTTCAAATTCAGAATGTGAATAGTGGATTTTAAACTCGGGCTGTGAATAGTGAATTACGATAATTTTACACTTCAAGTAAATAGTGGATTTCACACAGTGGATTTCAAATTCAGAATGTGAATAGTGGATTTTAAACTCGGGCAGTGAATAGTGAATTACGACAATTTAACAGTGAATTTTACGCTATTTTTTGTATCTTTTTTTTTAATGAATGTCGATAAATTTTGACGAATGTGTAGTGGATTTCATTTTTTTGGTAAACCTGCTGGAAAAAAATGAGTTTTTAAAAAACTGAAATTTTCAATAAGTTTATAGTGAATTTTCGTAATAGACAATGTAAATAACTTAGTGGTTTTTTTATTTTCGTAATGGACTACACTAATACATAGTGGTTTTCAATAAGTTTAGTGATACATAGCGGTTTTCAATAAGTTTATAGTCAATTTTGGTAATGGAATACATTAATTATATAATGGTTTTCGTAAATTACATAGTGGTTTTTGGTAAATTTATAGTGGATTTCAATTTGTTAAAAACTATGTTTTTTAAATCGAAATATAAAAGGAGAATTGAAAAAAAAAATCAAAATCAATTTTTAAAAACGAAAAATATTTTTTTTAAAAGAAAATCAAAATTTTATAATTTTATTATAAAAAAAAGGTTCAAATAAAAATAAAGTTAAAAAAAAACACCATTTAATCAAAATTAAAAAAAAAACAATTTTCTCAAAAAAAAAAAGAATATCAAAATTAAAAACATAATTAAAAAACGTAATTTTTTTTAGTTGAAATGGTATGTGATTTTAGAGAGATTTTTGGGAGTTCGGCGGATATTTAGGGGGAGTTATTTTTGGAAAATAAATTAAACATTAAAATTAAAAAATACACAAGGGTAATTTAAGTATTTTGCTATGAGAGGGGGTTATCTCAAAAATGGGATTATTAATTGGATTTATCCCTCTTTGGAAATTGAATGAGGGGGTTATCTCATATAACCCCAAAAAAATAATACGCTTGACAATTACCCTAATGACTCCTTTTTTATTGCATTGGGTTGCAATTTTTTTTATAATTTATTTATTATTTTTCTTTTTTTTTTAGAGTAAATTCAAGTCCATTATAAGAGGAAGTATGGGAGGTGGAACTCGAACCCTAGACCTTTATGGTAAAAGGTTATGTACCAACTCTCCTAATGAGGGTTGGTAATTTATTTATATTTTTAACATATATACTTTTTGCATTTCACTTCATTAAATTGAAATATTATTCAAATTTTATTAAAAAGTAATGAAATATTGGTATCCTAAAATTAAAAAAAAAAAAACGAGAATATTTTCAAAATGTGTAAAATCGATTTTATTAAATAAAAAATTATAAAAATATAAAGAGAAAAATACAAATAAATAAAAACTTTTAATGTCACAAGATATGTTTAATATTTTTTTATTATATTTTCTATTTTTAATAATTATAAAATAAAGAAATACATTATAGTTCTATATTTAAACATAACTACATGTTTTTAAAATATATTACAATTTATCCCCTATGTAATTAATATGCTCACAATTATTCCCGACGGCAAAAATGGTATTTGCAGAGGAATATTCCATGGAATCAAAAAGACTTTGTCCAAAGTAACAACGTAGGTGGACCCCATAAGACGAAAACATACCTCAAGGGGATTCTCGTAATTACACAAACATGGGGTATCGTAATTAGACCTTATCTAAAGGATATTCTTGTAATTTTCCTAAATATTTATGATGAAATTACCCTCAACGCTCCAAAATAACTCAATTCGTGATTTTGCACTACAATTAACCCCCATTTCACCT